GGTGGGCCCTGGCAGAGAGGGGACGGGGGCTGGGTTGCTGTGAGGCTGCATTCTGTAACATCCCTTTGCATTATTGGTGTTTGACCCTTCTTCCCCACCATGTTTTGCCCTTCTCCTGAACTACTGCTGCTGCTCTGTGCCTAACCTCTGTGTGTGAGCAGGATGTTTGAAGCCCAGATAGGGAGCTATCAAGGCGAGGATCCCCTCGATCCCTGGGACAGGTTGGTATTTGGATTGCTTTCCTAATGGCACCTATCTTAAAACACTGTGTGTGCTGCAGGAGTGGCATGTTTCTCTTGTTCCAGGTATTTGCAGTGGGTGGAAGGTGCTTTCCCATATCAGGATGGACAGGAACGCTTGTCTGCTTCATTAGAACAACTCGTAAAAGCCTTTATCAGTGAGAAGAGATACCACCAGGATCTGAGATTTGTTAAATACTGCATTAAACTAGTAGGTACACTTAGATATGTAGTCAGCAGTAGAAATGTGTAGAGAATTTACCAGTGTCGGAAACAGTTTGAATTCCTCAGCAGTAACATCTCCAATACAGATTATAACAGGAGTGAATTGGGATACTTTGGGCTAGTCAGGCCAGCTGAAACTCGCTTTTAGATTTCAGGAGTCCCTTGCCCTCTGCCCTTGAGCTGATCTTAATATTGCCTTAACACAGGGGTCTCCAACCTTTTTAAGCATGAGATCGCTTTTTGAATTTATATGCAATCCAAGTTCTATCTCAAACCCAAATACCCTTGTCCCACCTCCTTTGTGCTCCTTCTCTGAGGCCCAGCCCCTGCTAACTCCATCCTCTCTCCCTCCTTTCCCCCCTGCGTCCTCCCTCACTTTCACCAGGTAGGGGCCATGGGTTGGGGTGCAGGCTCTGGTCTCAGATTAAGGGATTTGGAGTGTGAGGGGGGCTCTGAGCTAAGCTTGGGCAGGCAGTTGGGGTGCTGGTGGGGATTTTAGGTGCAGGCTCTGGAAGGGTGTTTGGATACAGGGGTGCTCAGGACTGCGACAGGGACTTGGGGTGTATGACTGGGGCAGGGTTTCAGGATGTGAGCTCCAGCTGGACACTGCTTACCTCAGGTGGCTCCTGGGTGGTGCTACAGTGGGGCTAAGGCAAGCTCACTCCTCCCCTGGCCCTGCACCACTCCCAAAAGCAGCCAGCAAACTCCATCCCAAGTCCTATTGTGCCCCCTGTATGCTCTGTGGAGATAGGATACAGGGTGGGAGAAGTGGCACTTTGACATCAGTGCCCTTCTTCTTCCTTCACAGCAAGCAGGAGGCTCCCAGGGGTGGGAGCAGCAGTTCCAAGGCAAAGGATGGGAGGGGCAGCTGAAGTGCCAGCACTTGATTAACAGTCTCTTGGCCAAACAAGTCAGGATCACCTGTCAGAAGCTCCAAAATCTGCCAGTAGATCATGATCTACTGGTTGGTGACCACTGCCCTAACATCACACCTTTAAATCTTAAACAAGACAATTGGGAAGGAGGGTGGGGGAATCCTCATGACCTTACTGATTTCAAGTGTAAAGCTTGAGAGGATGTTTGTCTTGTTCTGTTAGTATGATTTGAGAAATTGCCCTTTCTTCCTACCACATGCCTGAGGTGGCCTTCTGGGGAGAATGGTTTGCTTCCTCCTCCTTACCATTTTCCTTTTGCATCAGAAAAGGAATTCAGTGGTGCAACTAGAAAAAGGATAGCCTTTTGTGTAATGTATGGAATTTCATAGACATAAGTGTGTCACAATTTTATAATGGGTATTGTGGGACTGCTTTAAATAAAAGGCATCATTACTGCTGTCTGTAAATCCTTCCCCCCCCTTTTCTTTAATGTGCTGATGGGTATCCATATTATGTTTTCTAGGCAGAATTCATCACTGCTCCTAGTCAATTTTTTGATTATATCTACAGCCAAGGAGTTGGTACTCGAATATCTGCTTTGTACGTTGCTTGGGCTCAACAGCTTGAAACTGAAGGGAATATACAACATGCTGGTGCCGTTCTTCAAAAGGGTATTGATAACCAGGCAGAACCAATGGAAAATCTGCAGGAACAATACAGGTAGTTTATTTTGCTCTTTCTTGGCGCAGTAGGATCTGTCCACAATGTTGTGTTCGGTGAAGTATTGAACCTGCCTAAATATACATCTTCCAACAGGGATAAAAACAACTGAATTTCCTATAAAAAGTTCACAAAGCTTAAACATCCAGACTTCCTCACTGTTCAGTATGTCCAGACTTTTGGGTTACCTTTTCCTACTGATACCCTCCATGAATAAAACAACACTAATAAGAAAAATGATCACTGAAGAGGCTATGTCTACAGTTGCTTCCTCTTTCAAGAGAGGAATGCAAATGTAGACATTCGAAATTGCAAATGAAATGGGGATTTAAATATCCTGTGCTTCATTTGCATAATCGAAGACAGCCGCTATTTCAAAATAACAGGCGCTGTTTAGACACGGTTATTTTGGGGAAAAACCCTTCTTTTGAAATAACTGGTAAACCTCGTTGTAGGAGGAGTAAGGGTTATTTCGGAAGAAGGGTTTTCTCTCAAAATAACCACTTCTTAACAGCGTCTGTTGTTTTGAAATAGCGCTATAAAGCCATTATGCAAATGACTTGCATGATATTTAAATCGGTTTCATTTGCAATTTCGAATGTCTTCGTTTGCATCCCTCTCTCAAAAGATGGTGCAAGTGTAGACCTATCTGAAGATACTATGGAGGTTCATCACTTTTCAAGGGTTTTGTTTCTCTTATTGGCATGTGACAGATCCATTAGCCTGCCCTGTATAGTGTCACTTTGACTGGGTAGGCCTAGCTTAAAGAACAAAATAACCTATTTCACTTCAATTAGCATGCTTTGGAAGTACTCTGTGGGACACTTTAGTTGGATAGCCAATTGCTTAACTCTCCTAGGGATATGTGAACTATTATGCTGTTACAGACCAGTTTCTTTACGATGAATGTGCTGTAAAGAGCCTAAATCGTCACTACTATAAGCAGAGATACGCCCTGTGAAATCAAAAGGTGTGTGGCGTCCACTTACGATAGATGAATTTGGCCTTTCATTTTTGATTTTGGTGTAACGGATCCACAGTATCGAAGTCAATGTTATGCCTTCATAATAACTTCTCCCTTCAATCTAGACTGTTCCAGTGTCGTATCCCTCAAAGTCATCCATTGATGCAAGGTGAGTCTAATGTTGAATTATCCATGAACAACTACACTCAAATGGACTAGCTTGCCATGGTGTTTTTAATGTAGTCTTCTGTAAACACCAAGACTTACCTTATTGGAACTCTATCCAGGCCTATGCTAAGGGGAAGGTCAAATTAAGATACACAACTGCAGCTAAGTTAATTACGTAGTAGGGATGTAATAGTGTAGTAGATTAACTGATTAATTAATAAGCAAAAACTTATAGGTTAATTCTATAGACTGCATGCATTTACACACACCACCCCCGCCCCCAGTAAATTTGTTAGCAGGCTGGCCAACAATGGGTCTAGGGCCGACGCCTTCCCCCCCCTTGCTGTGGCTCGGCATTTAAAGAATGTTGGGTGCCAGGCAGCCTGCCTCACTTCTGGCTTGTGCTGGGTCCTGGAGCTCAGACTGCCCTCTTCTCTTCCCTTTTATTTTGGTAGCTTAAATAGCATCTCTGTGTTCTTCTAGTTGCTGCCTCAAAACAACTTCACAATTTCCAGATTCCAAATCCAGTGGAGCCTAGAAAAGATGTCTCCGAATCTGGTGACCCAGCATGTCTCTCCAAAAGCCAGGTATCTAAAACTTGTGACTCAAAGTCTTGAGAGAAGGTTATCTTGGTCATGCACTAGCCATGGGAATAAGAGCTGAATGCCTAAAGTCTGGGGTTCACAAACTATTTTAGAAGCTTATAGGATAAATTCAAGATGGTAAAATCAGAGTTACACCTCCAGCAAACATGGAATGTGGGATGTGTGGGTAGCAATAGTGCTTAACAGACGTGTATAGACAAGCTAAGATCAGGACACAATTCTTATCCCTCTTCATTCAACAAATTTCCATATACAAAATGAACCTCCGTGGGAGGTCAGTGCTCCTCTACTAGCCGGCACCTCCCGCTCCCAGGTTCCACTCCTGGCAGCTGGCTTGCTCTCGGGTGCCAGCATCATCCATGGGCCTCCACTCCTGGTCCAGCAGAGCACCTAGCTGCAGCTTCCAGCCCCTAGTCAGGGCTTGCCTTTGGTCCAGTGACATCCTAATCCTAACTTTGTGGGACCACAACTGTTGCTGGACCCAGAGTCCTGGATTTCAGAGGTTCAACCTGTATTAGAAGGAAAGAATGATTTAACTAGTATACTTCAGTAGGAGGGCAGGTTATATAAATTGCAACAGCTGTACCAATTTTGATTCTTAGTTGGAATTACTTTTATTTGATCACTATACCATTTCAACTATGAACTTCTGACAGGATCTGGAAAATCTGCCATTCAGTGAGATCAAAAGTAAAATCTAGTTTATTTAATATGCCAAACATAGTTGAGCCACAAGTATGATAGATTACAGATCTTTATGCATAATAAAACCCGATTGCTGGAAGCTGAAAGTAGGCATGCTGTATCTAGAAACAAGGTGTGGTGAGGGTAATAAATGAGACCCTTAGAACTGGTATGCTAGATCACCATCACTTGGAATGTTTAGTTCAAGGTTGATGCCTTTCTAAAAGATGCTGGAGCTCCAGCACTAGCTATGTCCATGCTCAGGGGTGGAAGCAGAAGAAAAGGAAAAGAAAAGTAAGGCTTGGGGTCTTATTTTTAAAAACTTTCTGCAGACCTCCTGCAGTGGGTCCACTGATCCTAGGTTGGGAACCACCGTTCTAGATCACGGCTGGTCCTAAAGCAGAACTAGCATGATAACTTGACCTTTTCCCCCCATTCTGTTTCTTACTGGCTTTGGATTCACGACAGTACTTACTTGTTAGGTGCTGACTAGTTCTCTTCACAACCTCTTGTGAAAGACTCTGTCAACTGGCTCTCCTTAATCCACCATTAAACCTTTTGTGCATGCATTGCAGAATGGAGTCTTTTATATTTTCAGCATTTCTCTGTCCAGAGACAGACTCTGGTAGCAGGACACTATGCTGAATAGACTGTGGAGGCACTGCATGGGTCTGTGGAGAGTCATGCAGGGCACATGGTCTAAGGGTAGAGGGGTATCTTCACTTGCATCATCAGTGCCTCACTGTTTGTACTGCTATTCTATAATCCATGCCTGGAGGGTCTCTCAGTGCACGTACTCAGAATCTTGCTGTAAGGCGTGTTCAGGATAGATATACTCTTGTTAGGATTTTATCTGCCATTACAAGTTTAAGAGCTGATGAGATCATAGGCTTAACTGAAATAATTACGTTACTTTTGGGTCCTTGGTTATGTCACAGACTGAGTGTAGTAACCCAGGCTTTGGTCCAAGAAGGCTGTCTTGGTGTGGGGAAGCCAGCAAGCAGACCGCTTGAAACGTACCCAGAGGTGGTGGTTTGAGAAGGGGGTGAAAAGAAGATTGGCTAGAGCATGGCTTGAGTGCCACTGGTGTTGTGCTTAAAAGAAGCACCCGGGATCTTTTTCAGGGGGATAAGGCAACACACCACATTTATTGAGCATTCATAGATCAGTCAATACTTTATCATATGCATATGATACATTACACTCATGCACTCTCTCACATATGCACATGCATGCATACTCCATCTTGTTGTTACCAATAGTTGCTCCCCCGAACTGCACTGGCCAGGTGACTTAGATGGGGGGAGGGGTGGATCTGGGCTTCTGCCGATCCGGATCAATGCTTTGACATTGACAAGACTAAAACCTGGGGTTCCTCTGCAAGATCCCTCGTATTTATCCCTCTCATGCAGCCAATTAGTCATTACCTCACCTTTTTTAATACTGCTTCAAAGAGGGTCCTTTCAAGGGCAGGCACTTGCTGCTTGACTCCCAAGGTGTCTGTATGTCCACTTGTCTTTTCAATGAGCTCACTTCACAGGTATTATGACTAGGGGATAAGAAAACTCGAAATAAATAGGAGGAGAAGGTGGGGGGGGGGGGAGAAAGATGCTCTGTTGCCCACCCTCCTACCTCTATACATAAAGTATCAGGAGGAAGGGTGCTAATCCTGAGTAGATAAATATCAAAGTCAGTGGATAGATTGGTAAGGCAGGAAGGAGACCATTCAGAAAGCTGTTAGCACCTTCAGTGATAAAGGGCCCACCACCCCATATCTTGATTAAGTCCATTAGTAATTGACTTGAATTTGCATATGTATTGTAATTCTAAGCTTTCCCTGTGTATTTGGCTTGAGAAGCTGGCCTGTGACAAGACCGCCACCTTCAGATCTGCGAGATTATGGTTAGGTAAACAGAAATGGTCTGCCACTGGCTTCTGAGTATTTTCTTTACGTATATCCGATTTGTGTCCATTGATTCTTTCCCGTAGAGAACATCCAGTTTAACATATATAAATATGTAGCTGAGGGGCACTGTTAGCATTTAATAGTGTAGATCAAATTTCTAGATCAGTGAATTCATCACTGGAGCAAACAACACAAGCCACAAAATCAAAGGATTATTTGACTAAATGAGCAAAAAAAGTTTCTCAATACAAACTTATGAGAGTGATACATGATTATATTGAAATGTTAGACAATGTGCATAAATCTCTCCCTTTTGACCCCTCAAGAACAATTCTTGAGTGGGTCACACTTTATATAACTGTATATAATGGTACTATACTGAGAAACAATTTGAGCTTAAGTTGTAATTTATTAAAGAGGATGTTAAACAATATTTTGATGTGTTATGACAATTAGAATTAAAAAGCACTAAGAAGTCCGAGTGACTATCCCTTAAAAAAATCATACCATTAATGAATACTTATGTTTAGCTTTATGTGAAATTTTGAGGATTTTACATAATTGTTGTTGTAAAATTGCTAAACTGTGTGTTCAAATTTGGACATCCATGGCATTAGTCAGTTGGCATCTTTTTTGTTCAACTAAATCCTAATGATAAACCATGGTTAATAACATCAGCTACTATATTAACATTTATCTTTTGGTACTGAAAATGTAGTCCCATCATACATGCATTGCTGCACAGGGAGTTTAAAGATTCCTATTTTGCCATACAATGGCTTAATTCAGAATTAATCATAGAATCATAGGACTGGAAGGGACCTCGAGAGGTCATCGAGTCCAGCCCCCTGCCCTCAAGGCAGGACCAAGCTCCGTCTACACCATCCCTGACAGATGTCTATCTAACCTGTTCTTAAATATCTCCAGAGAGGGAGATTCCACCACCTCCCTTGGCAATTTATTCCAATATTTGACCACCCTGACAGTTAGGAATTTTTTCCTAACGTCCAATCTAAACCTCCCCTGCTGCACTTTAAGCCCATTACTCCATGTCCTGTCCTCAGAAACCAAGAGGAACAAATTTTCACCTTCCTCCTTGTGACACCCTTTTAGATATTTGAAAACCACTATCATGTCCCCCCTTAATCTTCTTTTTTCCAAACTAAACAAGCCCAGTTCATGAAGCCTGGCTTCATAGGCTTCTCTAGACCTTTAATCATTCTTGTCACTCTTCTCTGTACCCTTTCCAATTTCTCCACATCTTTCTTGAAATGTGGCGCCCAGAACTGGACACAGTACTCCAGCTGAGGCCTAACTAGTGCAGAATAGAGCGGCAGAATGACTTCACGAGTTTTGCTTACAACACACCTGTTGATACAACCTAGAATCATATTTGCTTTTTTGGCAACAGCATCACACTGTTGACTCATATTCAACTTGTGGTCCACTATGACCCCTAGATCCCTTTCCGCCATGCTCCTTCCTAGACAGTCGCTTCCCATCTTGTATGTATGGAACTGATTGTTCCTTCCTAAGTGGAGCACTCTGCATTTCTCCTTATTAAACCTCATCCTGTTTACCTCTGACCATTTCTCTAACTTGCTAAGGTCATTTTGAATTATGTCCCTATCCTCCAAAGAAGTTGCAACCCCACCCAGTTTGGTATCATCTGCAAACTTAATAAGAGTACTCTCTATCCCAATATCTACATCATTGATGAAGATATTGAACAGTACGGGTCCCAAAACAGACCCTTGAGGAACTCCACTTGTTATCCCTTTCCAGCAGGATTTAGAACCGTTAACAACAACTCTCTGACTACGGTTATCCAGCCAATTATGCACCCACCTTATCGTGGCCCTATCTAAGTTATATTTGCCTAGTTTATCAATAAGAATATCATGCGAGACCGTATCAAATGCCTTACTAAAGTCTAGGTATATGACATCCACCGCTTCTCCCTTATCCACAAGGCTCGTTATCCTATCAAAGAAAGCTATCAGATTAGTTTGGCATGACTTGTTCTTCACAAACCCATGCTGGCTATTCCCTATCACTTTATTACCTTCCAAGTGTTTGCATATGATTTCCTTAATTACCTGCTCCATTATCTTCCCTGGGACAGACGTTAAACTGACCGGTCTATAATTTCCTGGGTTGTTCTTATTCCCCTTTTTATAGATGGGCACAATATTTGCCCTTTTCCAGTCTTCTGGAATCTCCCCTGTCTGCCATGATTTTTCAAAGATCATAGCTAAAGGCTCAGATACCTCCTCTATCAGCTCCTTGAGTATCCTGGGATGCATTTCATCAGGACCTGGTGACTTGCTGACATCTAACTTTCCTAAGTGATTTTTAACTTGTTCTTTGTGTATCCTATCTTCTAAACTTA